TTTTTTTCTCTCCTGATTTTTTCCTGTCTCACGTTACTAAGATTTTTCAGAAATCTTGAAGGACTTATTTTCCTGTTTGTTTTTTTCATTTTTTTCCTTCTTTCTCTCTCTCTCACACACCACGCACACACATATTCACACATATAAGTACAAATGCCTGCTGCTCACTTTCAGAGTGTGCATTAAAGTAATTTGATCTCTGCAATGGCACCTCTGCCCACATCACACATCAGAACCCATCTTTGCCGCCTGCAGCTCCTCTTTGATGCTGCACCTCACAAAAACTGACCATCTTTCAAAGACTCAGCTTCTTCCCTTCTTCTGTTTTATTAAGAGCATTATGCCACTTTTATGCTATACTACATTAAGTTCAATTGGGAGGAAAAAAATAGTAAAAATGCATAAGTCTAAATATACTAATATACTAAATATTACTGTTCTGCACACCTCAGTATAAACTAACCTTTTAATCTTAAAATTTCTTACTTCATCTGTTTCCACAAATCCTTTAAAACGTTATCACCTTTCATTCTTTTGTTAGAACCCACACACTTGTGTTTCATAGTGCTTTCAACTGTTCCGTTTAAGTGGTTTATATGCTCACTAATAGCAAGGTGCACAGATGGACACTAGGTGGTGCTAGACTGCCTTCTCTTTTTTTTCTTCTAGAAAAAAAGTTCTCCCTTAAGTAGTTTTTTTAAAATAATTTTTTTATGCCTCGCCCATGGTAGATATCTGCATTCAGAGCCGTTATAAACAGTGTCAGATGTTTATAATTTTGCCAAACAAGAGCCCTTCCTACACCGGATGTACCTCACTGTGTGCGTCTTTTAATGTGAACTTGCTGCACACAAACCGGTTAAATGGATACCTGCTGATGCAGCAGTCAACACCTCTTCCCTTGATCTGTGAGTCACATATAAGATCAAAATCACACCTAAGAGTAATATGTATAACTTTTTAGATCATGATCTTCCTATCTTTAGCTTATGAAATGTACGTTCTATTTTCCATTTTAAAGTTGTTACTATTAAAGCACCATTATGTTATTGCATGGTTTCTGTTGGTAGCATGTTATGACATAAATATGCTCAGATTACTCATGACGTTTTCTTTTATTGCTTGGCACATGTTTAAAGTGGTATTTATTTAAGTTGCTGGTGTTTTAATTTTTCCCCTATGCCCTTCTCTGCAGGTCAGTGTGGAGGTGTTGCTTGAGTATCCCTTCTTCGTGTTTGGCCAAGGATGGTCATCATGTTGTCCAGACCGGACCACTCAGCTTCTGGAGCTGCCTTGTACAAAGCTTTCTGTAGGTGATGTTTGTATCTCACTTACTCTCAAGAACATGAAGAATGGATCTCTGAAGAAGACGCAATCTCCAGAACGAGGCAACAACGCTTCAGTCGCTCACTCCAGCCATGCTAAAACCGCCAGAGCCATCTCAGAAGCATCCCAGAGCTGCAGTGTGGGAAATCCCAGGCCCAGAGAACGCGAGAACGGGATCCGCCAGCAGGGAAGCGCTGAAAGCAGGAATGGGAGTGGAGAGGACAGCAGAGTGGAAAACGGAGATCTTACGTTTGTGGAAAGAGCTCAGGTTGCCGGAAACAAAGACATCAGCTCCAGTAAGCCGCCAGGGAGCAGGAAGCGGAGGTGGTCTGCACCTGAAGGTCGAAAAGTAGAAAAATCAGAGGAGGAGCCCCCTTTGACCTTGCCCAAACCTTCCTTCATTCCTCACGAGTTAAAAGTCAGCATTGAGGGAAGGTCAAATATTGGGAAGTGAAAAGAGAGCAGGACTGTTAAAACACTTGGGATTACAAAATAAACAAAAAGAAAAAAGATTCTACAGAAAAAAGGAACACCCACATCAATGTTTCATTTGTCTTGTTTATGTTATTTTTTTTTTCTATCTTGAATACTGTACTGTAGAGGTAACTGTACCCTACGGCGTATCACCTTACATATTATCACGTGAGCAATTGGTGCCGTTTCTGATGATATTTCATGAGATGATGTATGCTGAGGGATTGGTGAAGAGTGAAAACTTTGTCATTGGTGGCTCTGTGGCGCACTGGCGCCGTGCTCGATGGCTCTTCCCAGCCACTGATGCATTACACTATGAAAATGCAGGTTTTCTTGGTTTTGTTAAAAGCGATGTCATTCCCTACGCATTTTCCAAGTTAGCGGTAAAACAAAAGCCAAAAGATTTTACATATGAAGGATTTGCAACTGAATCCTGAATGTAATCCTTAAATTATACTAATGTTTGGTACAATTTAACCCCATTTATGTTTTTTTAGAACACGCAAACCAAGCAGGAGTCATGGAGTAGAGCCAGTGTGCCACATTGTAGAGAGGGAACAACACTTACTCTGCTTACTTTATTGACGGCAGAGTCTTTACTTTTATTTGTAGCATTTTCGTTTTGATGTTTTAATTACTTTAACCTCTCATCTTTTATCTCACCAGATAGTTGCTTTAAATGATTGTCAGAAAAACTAAATCAGGGGTCATTTATTCCTCGATTGAACCCTAGTCAGGTCATTGTTGGGTGTATACATGTGGGACACCCTAACCTGATACATACAAGTGCAAAACACACTGTTTTGGTGAGCATTGCTTTAAGAAAAAGATGATTGTGTACAATCCTAATTGTATTTGATAAAATTGCTCTGTATTTGTGTCTGTCTAGAAGAGCTGCGTGAGTGGAACAAAGAGAATTTTGCATGTGAGCTCTGAGAGGGTCAGGACGTTTCACATCGATTTAAACACCTTTCACACTCACCCTACAGCCAACAGACTTTAGTTGTATCTTTATTCACACAGTACTGCATGTTTTTAGATATATTTTTTTTATTATTATTTGGAGAAAAGTAGAAAGTAGCAGCAGCACTTTGGAGAAGAGTGGCGTTTGGAAAAGTGACAGGGAGCAGATGTGCCATGGAATTACAAAGCAGTGAATAAATGTGACAGGTTTGGAAGAAATGCAAGGTCAGACATGGATTCCGAGTTGAGTTGGGGAAATTAATTCCAAAAGTAGTCATTCAGAGTGCTTTGTGAGACATTTTGTCTCATCACAATCACAAACTTCAATATATTTAAATGGGATTTTATGTGGTGGACCAACACAAAGTTCTGCATTCTCACTTTATGTATGTAGCACCTTCTGTATTCCCTACGATTGAGTAAGGCAGTAAATTTTACCTAAATTACAAGCTGGTTAACATCTTTTTATTTAAGTAACACAAAAAAAAAGGCGTGGAATACAAACGAACACCACTTTCCAGTGATACGCTTATTTGTGTTGGTCTATGACTTGAATAAATCAAACTGTGTGGCTGTAATGTGACAAAATGTGAGGAAAAGGTTTTGATTGTTTTGCAAGGCACTGTAAACAATAGTAGACAAGTATTAGAATGTGATTTCATAGTTTGGGCTGTGGCATATAGGTGAATGGAGAGAAACAACTTTGAAACATCCCAGAGATGTTCTGTGCTAAACTGAGAGCTTAGAAACTCACAACACATCATTTTGAAGGTCATCATGTGTTTGTAACATAATGTGCGTGTATGATGCTGGTCTGTAGGTGTCCAAACACGCAAACACACACAAAATGACATACAGACCATTCGATAAATCAGTGACCTTTGATATGTACTGTATTTGTCAATACACTTTTAGGTTCGAGCAGGTGCAAGCATATTTGGTGCACGACGCATCAAATGCAGACAGCGGTGGACTGGCGTTGGACTGGTGCACACAGCTAGCAGTACTGTCACACTGAAAGTGCTTTGTGGGGTGTTTTGTATGGATGAGATTTTAGGAGCGTGTGTGTTTGTGAGTGTATAGTGCATAGGAAAGAGGTAATTATTCGATATATATTTAGGAAATGCTTAATGTCCAGTGTTTCTACTTGGAGTCTTTACTTACGAGAATCTTGCAATTTGCACATCAGGAGAGAGAACGATGGAGACATGATCTTGCAGCGGCCCTGTCCTGAAACAAACTCTAGACCACATATAAGACACTGGAGGAAACCAGGGTTGTTGTTGTTTTTTTTCTGTTCCACAACAGGCACTTTTAGAGCAAATGCTTCTACATCAGCTCATTTCATGTCAAATTACGTTAAGTTATTCAAACACAGAGCCGAATTTAGATGTGCCTGCCTACTGAACTTATTCTAAGATGAATAATTTCTGGTGCTTCTCAAGGAAACTCTTTGCCTTCAGTTGAGGCTAGAGTGACTGAGATGGAGCAGCTCAAACAGCTGACAGCCATTATCACTAAGATAGGGTGGTAACCTTCGCAGCTGTCCTTACCTGGTGGGAAAAACGGTCAAATCTTTAGAACAATGATGTCAAAGGTTGAACAACCTCACGCAGCCTATACTATGGAGCAGTTCCCCAAATGATTTGAGCTTACCAAACCTGATTCATACAGTATTTCCACCATTGTTTGCTTATTAGAAATTAATGAAATCAGACTGGCCTTATGCTGCTGTAAAGCTACAACCTCAGCATGACTAGATAGATATATTTTAAATGACTTATTTTTATGCATATAGCACAATTGACCATGCCAAATATATTTGTTCAGCAACCATGCAGGTATGCAGAATAGAACACACACTTCCAAATTATACATTAGTTTTTGAGACCCCAAAGGAAAGCTTCAGTTAAAATATTTTAATGCTGGCAAAAAAGACACCTAGTCAAATTTTTATGTTGATACGCTGATGGAAGACTCCATTGAAAGGCTCAAATTGCTGGTTGAGGTGCAGATTCCTCTCGGATTTATAAAAAAAAAATGTGTCTAGATTGTTGGAAAATATTTACAGTAGATGTGGTACCCATACACTGCTAAACACAAGGGGAAAAAATGGCAAGTGCTAAGAATTAGCTTTTATTCTTCTATTTTACTGCAATCCAGGGACATTCAAAATCAGGTCCCAGAAACCATAGATCGGTCTTCATCTGTCATGGCGGGGACCAGAGGATGTTTCACCATGAGGTTAACGTATTCAAAAGGAATTCTTCTGCAAGCATATCTGTTAAGCTTATCGGCTTCTGGTCAGCGGTTGTTTTTACGCTTCCATAGCCCATTTCTAAGTCATGGCTTTTTTAAGTGCATCCCACAGGTTAAAGATCATAACTAATCTAAGGAGCAGTGATTTGTTCATGTGGTGAGTGTTATCTGGGTTAATGGCAGGATGGATGTGTGTTCAGATGGGTGGATCAGTCAACAACACCAATTGGAAGGGGAGTTAAAGATAAGAATGAGATTTGAAAATGCTTTATTTTTTTATAATAAAACAGGGTTTTCAGATCAAAATCACCATAGTAGTGCTCTTTTATTTCTATCCTCTCCTGTCAAAAGCTTTTTTTTTTTCAAAAGAAGTAAAAAGACGTGTCCTTGAGTGTGTGTTTTTGTAAAAATGTATGTTTTCGGTTTTGTCTAACCCCTCCTACCTACTAAAGATTCAGGAGAGCCTCAACATAAAGACAAACTTAAACCTGCTCCAGACATTCAAACTTCTATAATCAAAACAGGTAAATACTGAAAAAAAATGTATACCAAAGCCTCATTATCCTGCTGTTGGTTGGTTTTAGAAAAGCAATAATAATAATAAAAAAAAAAACAATATTGAGGCACTCCTTTTTACATGACTGGAACTATTTCTGCAATAATCATTCATTAATAATATTCCTCCAGCATTACAATCTAAACAAATGTAATTTTTTTTATTTTGAAAGAAACAATAGTATAAATACATCTTATTTCAATTCCCCTATTCCCCCTCATCATGAATTCTATTGTAATATCTTGAACTTTAGGATGTATTATTAGTTATTAGTTATCAGGGAAAACTTCTATTCATGCAGTAATTGAATCCAACCCCCAAAACCTCTTCTTTTTCGTACTGGTCAGTCATTAATGTGATGCTAAAGCTGAAGGTTAGCATGTGTCACATGCACCTGAAGCGACTAGTGCTTTGTGTCTGCCCAGCTCTGCCTCGTTGCCACGGCTACATAGTAACCTCTTAACTTTGTTTCAGGTACCCAATCACAGCCAGCCAACCTCCCAAGCACTTCTTCTTGAAGCAAAGCAATCGTTAAACCACATGACAACCGATAGCTACCTTTCAGCGTGATTCTGTCTAAATGTTTGTTAATAGCAGCCATTAAGGGGATTTCTTGAAAGGGGGTTCTCAGGAGAGCGTTTGAGCAGTCAGTGTCTTAACTAGAACTTTCAAGCCTTGAATAAACTAAGTTTGCTAAAGATTTTTAAATGAGCTGATTATTATAAACTGGTTAGCCATATATAGACAGATGCATCTATCTTCTTGGGTCTTCACAGTGATCACATATTTGTCTGTGGTTCCATACTAAAGATGTTTCTTAACCAAAACATCCTACAAGGTGTTGAGTGTTAGTGGTTTTACCACTGAATACTTAACCTTTTCTTGCAGGATGCACTTAAAACTTTTAAGTTGAACATTATGAGCAAAGATCAACACTTTTTAGTGTGAATAACCATCAAGCAGTAAATAACAGGAGATTTAAGGTTGATTATAAAATAGTGTTTACATTAATTGCCCTTTTTAGCTGTAAACTAGGACAAATAGCTTTAATAATAAAGCTGCCAATATTTTCTTAAACTAATCTTTCACTCTGATCTAAACTGATTTACAACTCTTTTATGAAGCCACTTAAATCTTTTTAATGATCTTAGAACTGTTTTGATGCACTTTTAGTTTTAGTTCAACTGTTTCAGAATAGCTGAGCTTACCTTTATGCTGATATCACTGTCCTTTTCCCCTGATAACTAAGGTGCTAATGTGAATTGGCCATCAAGATTTCAGGACTCTGTAAATGTCCCCAAACTGTCAGATAATTAATTGTTAAATTAATCATAAAGTAGGTCAGGCCTTTTGTTTTAATTTAATTTACTCCCAGCATCCAGAGATAAATAAACCTTCATCAGTGTAGTTTGTCTGAACAGTGCTGCATCTGAAGAAATAACGTTTTTTGCTGTTTACTGGGTCAGTACAGATTTTTTTTGTTTTGTTTTTTTATATCTGGTAGCATATATTAGCTGGAAAACAGATATTTTTTATAGTGTTAAATGTATAGAAAGTGTGATGTTGGTGTTATTTGCCAAATGCAGCATGTTAACTTATGGCAGTGAAACAGAAGGAGGGTTGTGTTGTCAGAACCCTATTCATATGGCCTTTAATTGTTGTTGAGTAACTAAAAATAACACTGCAGCTCAGTTATTGAAAAATAATTTATTTGGAGCTTGATTTGATGTATTTTATCGCTGAAAAGATTGTCTAAATAGGTCGATCAAACTCCTTTTATTTTTTTGTGTTTAAGTCTTTTAAAAAAAACACTATAAATATTAGACTTTGGGTGCATGGCAAACGTCTTTCTTGATATCCAATATGTAATTCTTCACAAGATTATATAGTACAGGTAAGACACTGGCTGCTTCTATCTATCGAAGAGAACCCCACTTCAAAAAATCTGAGCCTTCCCTTTAGTTTTATTTTGACATGGAGTTTAGTTGTAAATGTTAATTGTGGGAGTTTCAAAGATTTTGTTTTTTGCTATTATATAATTGATTCCAAGTTCACCTAGTTTTAGTCCAATTTAAATGTACCCTAAATGTGCAATATTTACAGTTTGATTTCCCCTCTTTAACTGTGCCAAGTTTATGTAGTGCCGTCTGACTCCAAGCTTTTGGTTTCTTTCCCTTCTGCGTTGATAAGGAGGCTATTTTATCAATCAAGAAACAAATCCATCATCTTTTAGAGGTTTTCAGTTACTCTTTTTTTAACTCAACTTTGTGGCCTTCCTCTTTTTTTGAGTATGTGTTTTATCATGCGTCCTACATGTAGTTTAAAGACGTGTGTGTGTGTGTTAGTGAGTGTGTGGGTGTGTTCTTTAAGTGTTTGTGAGATCATAAACCCTGAAAATCACTGGTTCATGGTGAGATCTACAGATTAAAAAAAATCTCACTGATTGTTGGGGACCATTGTTTTGTAGAAAGCTGAAAAAAAGAAAACTTAAAAAAAAACATCAACAAAGCAACAGAGATGTATGTGTAAGTAGTTGTACAAAGAAAAAAACTTGATAATGTTTCAGCACTTTCTAATCCTGGGATAGGCTCAGTCTAACCCCTCTGTCTCAGACCGCTGCCCGTCCCAGGGAAAATATTCATTCAAAACACACGAAGAATGGTAATGAGTAGAAAAAAAAAGAAAGAAAGAAGAAGGAGGGTGATTACTGATGGAAACAGAGAGATTGCTCAAGTTTTTTGCACATCGGCTTCTTTTCGCCGTAACCTTTTGTCTGTCTCATCCTCACTTTCCGTCCGGCACGTTCCTGGGTCCAACGGGCCGAGGCGATAAGTGATTTATTTTTCATTTAAAAAAAAAAACTTAGTTTTTCTGTGTGAAGAACTGAAATCTTTCCCCACCCCACAGCCTCCAAGCTAGGTCATTATTTTTGCTTTCATTATGCTCCCATCTTTTTGAGCTCTAATTTGGCAGAGGTGTTTGACAGCTCAGTTTTGGTCGTTCGGTATGAAAGCGCTGTGTTCAAACCTTTGCTTTGTTTGCATTATCTTTTGGTGCAGGAGCTTTTTTTTTTGTTCCATTTCTGGTCTCCTTGTAGCACTCAGTATAATGTCAGGGGACTTGAAAAGCTAAATAGAGAATGTGTCATTGTTTGTTCTTATGACAAGCTTCCTCAGTCGAGGAACACTGTTTATGTCTATTTTTTTTAATTGGCTTCTTGCACAACTTGACAAACAAAATGAATGTTGGTGTGTGAGCTTTTTTTTTTTTTTTTTTAATCAGAAAAAAGGAATGCGTGCTCCATTGTTTCTTGATGTTTGTATCTTCATTTTGCAAGGAAAAAAAAAAATTTTTGGCACTTTTTTGTGTTTGAAAGTTTAAGTTTTAAAAGTTAATAGAACTTTATCAGGATTCCTCTTTTTCCTTGTTATTTGTGTTCTCTATTTTTGTATGTCCTTAGCGCTGGATAACCAACTCAGGCAGAAAGATATAAAAAAAAATTAAAAAAATATGTAAAAGCCTACTTAATAGTTAAGATTCACCCCAATCAATTTACACAGTGGGCTCTTATATGTACATTTATATCACATAGAATTTGATATTTCGATTGATTTTTGATGATTAAAAAAATGTCATAACAGAAAGTAAAGTATAAATTATTACTCTGATATTGTGTGTCATGCTGGAGATGCCTTGGATCCCTCTTCAGTGTACTAAGCATCTCTGCACGGTGACAAACTCTTAAAACTGTTTGCCTCTGACCCTGCCCACTGCCATGGAGGGAACGGAGGTCATCTGTCTGCGGATTCTGAACTCTGCCACCAGTCTGTCTGGGTATCTCTCCACTAACCTGCTACAAGTACTAAATTCAGACTTTATACAAGTCAACGAGATGAGGGCAGAGACTCCTACATCAGTGCAGACTGTCACAGACCGTCTGTCCTTCGATGGACCGCAGAACATCCCAGCCAACTTGTTTGTACTATATTGTACTCACTCAAGTCTAAGTGTGTCACCACCTTTATCCTCTATAGCAAATGGAGAAGAAAGCCCTGTTGGTGTATGTATTTGACATCTGTATAAATGCACCTCTTTGAAAAGGAAAATGAAACCTTGACATATCTGGACTAAAATGAAAACTTGTGTCTTGATTTAAAACAAACACACTAATGGTCAGAACACTGTACTTATATTAGCACAGGACCAGGACACTCATTTGCTTGCGATTGGCTCCCTCTAGTGTGTGATAGATTGAATCACATTTCTATTCTTTTATTGAAATTATTACTTTATGTTTAACATAAAACCAAACTGAAATTTGATAAATCTACAATTTCATCTCTCATTTTCTTCCCCTTATAGATGAGATAAATTAAAATCACACATGGGCACAGTGCAATCCCCAGGCGCTGGGATGAATCTGCAGAAACTCAGTAAATTAATGACGTAAAAAAGACACTTATTTACTATAGTAATTTAATTCATAAAGTTAAACTTGTGTATTATGCAGAGAGGGAGTTTTTAAAGGTGTCACTTATGGGCACAGTGTCATATGTGACCTGAATAGTGTCCCTGAAATTGCTGCTTCTCACTCCGATATGACTTCCTTGTATCAAAGCTTAAGAAAGTTCTGATAAGGACTGTTTGTATGCCCCGGATATTCAGATAATTAATATTTTACAGACATACCATACCAAGAACTCGGTAAAGTTTAGCTGGGTCCTGGGTAACGCTGATGCTAATGCAAAGATTTCCTCTTAGAAGAACTCAGGAGACTGACTAATGTAGTCTTGAACCTGAGATATGAGGTGAGTTTCTGTCCCAATCTGAATTCTTGCAGCCTCTAACATCTTTTCTTGCAGAATTATTCTGCATTTAACTCTATTGATCTTTACACAAACTCTATCCATCATCCTTCTTTGCCTTCTTCATGGTAAGATAGGTGTTTTCTTCTAAGCAAACCTTTTTGCATGTATGAATTTGGTCTCATTTGACCTGAACATTTCTTAAGGATCAATGCTCTGCCCCTACATGTTTTGGTTTGTTTTTGTTTGCAAATTTGACTTTTTGTTACTTTCTCAGAACAATATATTTAAACAGAAAGGCCAAGCTTGTAGAGAAGACAGTTAATAGTTATCCTGTCAACACATTCCATCCTTCAGACTCCCCATCCTTTCTGCTGCTTCTCTGATTAATGCTCTTTGCAACCTGTCACTATAGGTGGCTATAGGTGCCATGCCTTGGTAGGACTGCGTGTTTCAGGAAGCTTTTTAAACAGTGCTCAGCATTAATTATCCAAATTTTGAGAGGATATTCTCTGTCTGTTTTGTTTTTTTGTTTTTTCTTTGTGTGTTCTCCAGATGTCTCTAACAAGATTTTAGATTTAACTATTTTGAGTTTTATCTTCTTAATTTGATGTTGTTTCAGAGAAAAGCAGTCTAAATGATCACAGAAATGACAGTCTTTAGTTTTTTAATTGCTAAGTTGAGAAAATTGTACATTGCACCACTTTCTACCACTCTACTAACATACACTGACATTTGTGTCAGTAATGGGATTAGATCTGGATTAATTTAGGTGTAAGGACACATTCCCCTTTTCTACTTTAAATGGTAATCAACACCAGACCAAGTTAACAGATGTTTCTGCATAGAGTTTATTGACACATGATTTGTCCAAAGATAAAAGTTTGATTTTCTGGATCTTGCATTTTGATTTACTTATTCTCAAGAAATTAAAAACAAGAAATCCCTTTCTGATGAGTTAATGTTCAATGAGCTGAGACTAAAATTCTGAAGTTTGAGTAGTTAGTAGTGTGAATGCAAAAACATCACTGTTAGATTTAGGAGTTGCAGAGAGATTGAATAAAGAAACAAATGGCCCTCAGTCATATGGTTCTTTATCTAATTCTGCTAAACCAGTAGCAGGTTATCTTTGGTGTATTATTTTTGCACATTCCCGTATTACATGCCTAACTACATAAGACCCAAACAGGATGGGCTTTCAGTTTGAAACTGCACAGACATGCACAATAAAGTAGTGGAGTCATGATTTCAGTTCTATAGGCGGTTAGGAGGGAATTTTGCTTCCCTATGTGAACATTTGGCTGGATTGTTGCGTGACTCGGATAAAGGTGGTTCTCCGGCTCAGCTCCTTAAGTTTGGCTGCTCCTACGTAGGTACATGTGGAACGGAGTCCGCCTAAGACGTCACGGATCGTGTTTTCTACATCTCCTCTGTAAGGAACCTCCACCGTCCGCCCCTCAGATGCCCTGAAAGCAAAGAAAGAAGAGAATGTGGAAGCAACTGTAGGATGTCAGCAGAGGTGGGTTTACTCAGTTACATTTACTTGAGTAAATTTTAGAATGTCAGTTTTAGGAATAATTGTAGCTGATGGTTATTCATCAGCTCCTAAACTTCTCCTAAACCTCACCTGCTAAACTGATGTAGGGTTATGTGGACATGGAAATGTGTTTTTCTTTTGCTCAAATTTCTGATTCTGTAATCAGGTATGTATTTTTCTATTAAATGTTGCGTTTTTGATTATAAATTAGCTCACAGTTTTCTGTCTGATGGCATAATTTTAAACATTAAATCGTTGTTATGAGCCAACAGTTACTCTGTGGTTGAGAATCTATTTTACCAGGGGTTTTTTTAACTCTTGAGTTATTCTTGGATGACTATGTTCTGGTTTTACTAAAGAAAATCATTTTAAATAATGCTTTTACTTTAGTCAGATTTTTGGCTACAGTACTATACTTACCCCAGTATCACAAAACATGTGTCAGAGGTCAAATGGATATTTTTGATATTATTCATTTCAATTGGTAGATATATTCATTTTGAATCCTGCAAAAAATACCTAATCTTTGTTATGAATTTTGTGGACTAGTCACAGCTGGGCTGCTGTAGCCATTTATAGAGGACTAGAAAAGGTCCCACATCCAAAAGCTCTATAGGTTAATGATAGGGTCGGCTTTAAAGAAAAACTGACATTTTTTAACTTTTTTCTTTGTGGGATGATATGATTACATTGCTTTTGTTTTTGTTTTTTTGTTATATAATTGAACTGAGTGATTTGTAAATTTATCTCATTGACTTTTATATCACCAAGGCAGATTTCCTGCACTAAACATCATGAAGTAATGATTCCTGTCCCTCACCTGTACTCTGCAACTCCACCCACATATTTCTTCATGGCTGTATCAGAGCTCATTCCATAGAAGAGTTTGTACTTCTTGCCGTTCTTTTCAATGACCTCCCCCGTGCACTGGTCATGACCTGCCAGCATTCCTCCCATCATGACAAAGTCAGCTCCGGCGCCTGAGAAACAGAAGTCAAAACCAGAGCTTGTGGTTTTTAAGGATAGAAAATGATAAAGACACAGAAACAGAAGCATGATTACTCACCAAAGGCCTTTGCTACATCTCCTGGACAACTGCAGCCCCCATCCTATAAAATCAATAGTTCATAAATACATTTGTTGAATTCAACAGAAA